ATATATATATATATATATATATATATATATATTATAATTTTGATATCAATATATGTTTTATTATAAGAGACAAATATTATTAATATGATTTTAATTTAATCTATGAGTATGAAGATTGCAAAAATGAAAGTAAAATAACTATTGTATCATTAGTATAATAATTATGCAATAATCATTAGAAAGGCTCGTAATTACTAGAATTTGCATATTTTTTTTGGAAAAATCTAATGATACGGGAACTACAAAACAAAAGACCTGTGATAATTTTGTTTACGACCGAATAGCGAGAAGGTGCCATGATTATTATTTGTTTTCATTATTTTAATATTTGATTGATTTAAAAAAAAGTAATTTCCAGGATCGGTAAACATAGCGATGCGGGCCGAATATCCACCTTACAGTCTACCCTTACTTACAATGATCAATTTGACGTTCTTCTATTTTCCGAACTTAACATGTAACAGAGGGTAATGGTCCTCTTTCAAATATTTGGGACTCGAAGATGGTTCTTGGCTAGGCCAATGATGAACGCGACGGGTATTATGGCCGGTTTGCGCCAGAGACCAAACAACACCAATGAAAAAAATCACAAGAAAAATCTAGTTGGCACCCTGGAGATCGAACCCAGGACCCCGTGCGTCGAAACTTACGTTACTACCCACTAAGCCCAAACGACCCCTAGCCCTACCTGTATAGACTATAAATTTGTTCCAGAAAACAAATAAGCTAAATACGAAAATTATGTTGCTTATTTTGAAGTTCCAGTGGTGTTTTTAGCATTACATTAGCATTATAGTAGAAAAAAAATCAGGAAGATCAAAATATCTACAATTTTTTTTTTTACAACTGTTGTAACCAAATAAAATTCGAGACTAAAGTACGTATTTGTTTCTGTTAAAATAATTAATATATATGATCAGGTATATTTCAGTTCATATTCAAAGACTTCTTTTAGTATTCACTTTAAGAATTCTGAGTTTCGTCTCATAATCAAGTATTTAATTTCTTTAGACGTTTGTCAGTTTAAAGAAGTTCTATTTGTGATTCGTTATTAAAAATTTGATTGTATTATTTATTTCCAAAGTATATAAGAGATCAATTTTTATTATAAACAAATTTAGTCGTAATTTCATTGAGTTAAAAATAAAAAAAAACAAATTAATTTAGCGTATTAATTATAATATATAAAAATACATAAAGCATCATTTACTCAGACGTGAGTAATTATATTTACAATAATAACAAGTATATATACTTATTATTTTGCCATGCTTATAAATATATTACTTTGTAGCTTAGTAACGGAGATAATAAACATTTTAAGAACAAAACTTAATATAAATTAGAAAAACTGTGCTATGGAAAAAGAATTTATAAATACATTTATAATAGATTATGGAAAAATAATCATAAAGTTTTATGTAACAAATTAATATAAACTTATTATTAATAAATTATCAATATTTGCTACTATTACGGTCAAGATTTTTCATGTGTGTTTTCTTACTCAATACATTTTAGATCCAACATGTTGTTTCTTGATTAATTGAAAATTAACAAATGTTTGATTCAAGTATTTCTTTTAAACAGTTTTAGTATCTATCAGTTGTAAGTTATAGAATGTAATACCACAATGTTTTAATTTAATTTTAAAAATACACATCTTTACTAAAATAATTTTTTCGAAAGGAGAAAAAATTTGATTGCATAGGCAGTCATTTGTCAACCTGAATATAAAATTTTCATTATGAAATAATGAAACATTTTTGGTTCATTAAGTGCATATTTAAAGGGTAGTGGTCTCATAATAAGCTTATTTCTAATAATAAGCTTATTAATAAGCTACTAACTTTCTTCGTGCGGTGCCTGTAATCCTGAATATTCCTCATCGAGTATTGGTAATAATATTCCAAACTCTTTACATCTGGCAGTTGCATACTCTGTGACAAGTATTTTTTTTGATTTTTTACAAACCTTGAAGTAAAAAAATCATATTTAAAGCTCAATAAACTATTATCTATCAATTCACTTACTTTATCATCTTTGCATATTACAGCTTCTCGTTTTGGCCCTTCACATCCTTCATCTGTATTTACAGGTTTTGGATTATTACAAATTCTTGTTCTTAACCTAAAACCTAATTTAGGCAATACACTATTTTAAAAATTACATCGTATAAGATAAGGTTTTCTAATAGTGTAAATAAATTCATAAGTATTAAATTAAAAAATTAATCTATTGAATTTCTTACAAATAACAAAAAAAAAAAATTTCCGACTCTAAATTGTTTAATAATTTAAATGAATATACTAATAATGTAAATTGTATTTGTCTATAGTTCATTATAAACTTACCTTTCGATTTAATAATACACCCTGAAGTGCACTCATGGGATTTCCACTGGCTCCATCCTCCTTTTATAATATTTTTGGGTTTTTTTGGTTTACCTTTTACGCATTTTCCAGCTATGCACCACTGGTTAAAAAAAAATTAAATGTCCAAAGATATAAGATATTAATCAAAATATATTTTGTATAAATTTGTTTTTTATATACGAGATGTTTAATAAGTGATAACCTGTATATTTTTATGTATAATGAATATTAACTCTCAAATTAACCAAGTTCTGATACAAAAATGTGGTAGGATAAGTATGAAAACGTATTATATAAAATATAATGTAATACAATATAATTTAATTAAAAATTAAACTTAGTCACAAGATGTTAGTTTTATCAGATTGATTTGAAATTCAATAGTAAACATATTTATTTTAGTTAGAATAAAAATAGTTCTGGACCAACAAAAGATAGCTGTACAAAAAAAAAAAAAATATTTAATACCATGTATAATTTAAATTGTATAATATATATAGTAACAATAAATTTAATATAATTTTTTTTTGGATATTGAAAATTGATATTTACTGAATTTGGTCCACATGTGGTTCCATCTAATGCAGGACCAGCAAAATAGTATCCAATTCGGTTTGGAGTTTCACATTGTAAATTTTCACAAACGTCCTATAAACAAATATTAAGGTTATTTTTAATAAAATTGGTATCGATGCATTGTAATAAAAAAAATTGGTGATAACTATAAATAAAAATATAATTATGTTGTTATTTTATATAATTTTTTGTTTTTAATTAAACGTATATAAACACAGATTTAAAAGTTTATCATACAAGAATCTTTCTTTCTTTTACTAAAATTTAACGAATTTACGAACTAACGTGTTTTCATTATTTAATGTAATATCACCACCCTCGAACAAGAAGTAATAAATATTAATCCAATGAGATACATATTTAACCATCTTAATGTAACTCTATTAAATAACAGGTGAAGTTTCATGTTAAAGTAAATATTATTAAAGTGAAAATATTTTATAATTTAATAACAATATGATAGCTAAATTGATTTGTCATAATTTATGTAATATATCAATGAAAAATAATCGAATCAGTTTGAGATTTGTAAAAAAATATAGTTCATACATTTAAATCAATATATATTTTTAATATATATTATAATATATATAATACTAAGCACAAAATTATTATTATTTTTTAATTTTAAAACCATAGGGTTTGAGTTGAATAAGGTTACAAATATATAATTATTGATTTACCTCTAATTGCTGCTGAACTTCTTTGAGTGTAGTATCAGATTTCATTACTGTAGCATCACTATCTAATAATAGCAATTCACATTGTTTTTTTGCGTCCCACGTTTGACCGGGTTTGTCATTAAATTTGTTATGATCAAATCGTTGGAGATCTTTAGAACGATGTTTAGTAGATTTAAATAGACAATCAAGATTACTATAAACAATTTGTTATTATTCATAAATTAAATGAAAATGATGTTTTAGAATCATGTCTTTATCATATAAGGATTTTAAGGATTTAACATTATTTTTTTAAGTTATCATGTAAATTTAACTATCTCAAATTTTATGAAATGCTCTAATTAAAAAAAAAGACTGGTTGAAAATAACATTTTAACAGCATTTCAGAAATTATTGACATATTTATAACAAGATGACAGAACGAGTACGTAGTAATTAAAATAACCTAATTTCTAACTATATTTAAAAATGGTATCTTGTACTTTAAAGGTAGTTTAACTACACTTAATTTTCGAAGTTCAAAAATAATTTAATGTGTGAGTTTTTATTCAATATTTGAGTTGATAAAATAAAAAAAGGATCCTAGTCTACAAAATCACGTTATAAAGTTATCATATATTCATCACTCTGAGATATGTGAAGTTTACAAAGACTTTTCTGAAATAACTAACGAATACTTATGCCCAGTTTAATGAAGTTAGTAGATGAAAAATTAAAAAAATATCTCCCTTGTATATGTCATCAAATTACACTACGTGATGTCTATTAGAGGCTCAATATTTCCATGTGAAGTTATTTTAGATATATGTTTATTTTTCGGTTGTATTAACTTCTTTATAATTTCATTTAATGTATTCATATTTACTTAAAATCAGGGAATGAATTTGGTTTTCTGAAAATCGGTTATAAATAGTAAAACCTAATTTTTCTCGGTTTTTTTAATAACAACCCAAACTAAAACCGCATACAACCCAAAATCGTATCTGCAAACAAATCGAATGGTTTCAATCTCTATGATGCGAAGTTACATAGCTTTCTGATATGTTTTATCAAAGTCTGTTAAAAAATACACACCTCCATATCTGTATAAAAATGTGCTGACACTTTCAGACATCACATCGTTTTCGACATCATCTTTATTTATGTACACTTAGAATTTATTCCAATTTTAAAGTAAACATTATTAAATTTTCGTTATACGCGCGTTTCATATAGTTGTCATTTTTAGTTAAATTTTAATTTCATACACAATAGTATCAATAAATATATATCTATAATAGTAATAGTTATTTACTATTATTATTCAAAGTATAATTCAATAAACCATGTGAAATTGTCATAAGTATTATAGTTATTATTATGTATAGATTAACCAATGATGTAGCCAAGATTTTTCTTATGGTCTAATCATTTTTTCAACAAAAGGATATTTTAATTTGAGCCTTTTATATGATAAATATGTTAATATTAGAGTACTGGCTTATGTGCGACTAGTGTAGAATTAGGCGATATTTTACAGACGTTAAATTAAAATTATTACTCAATAAAATTCTCATAATTAAATAATTTCGATGATAAAATTTAGAAAAATTAATTAACTTACTCAAATTTAGAAGCAACTTGGGCGCTGCATTCTGACCAAAGTAGCTCTCCAGTTACTCCTCTTGATGGTGACATAATAAATCCTTCTTTTGGGCAGTTATTAGAACTTCCATCGTGATGCATTCCTAAGCTGTTATAATATATTATTATAATGATATCAATTAAATTTTCTTAGCAAATACTATTCAAAAACTGATAGAATGATCCGATAACCCAGCTGAATGTATTAATGAATGCAATCAAATATTTTATGTTAGAATATATTGTTACCTTACTGATTTTGTAAACAATTATATGTATGTATTTTTTTAAAGAACGTTTATTAGAAAATTTACAATCTATACAGCTATATGTACAATAAGTAAATATTTATAGATATATTTTTAACACGGAAATGATTTCGTGGATATAAAAAGTTTGAACTTGTTTATTTTTGGACCAATTAAATTTAATTTAAAGAATATTTATTTTGAAATTTTTATAATAAAAATTACTTTCTGAGGTGTTATAACTTTTAAATATTATGTTTAATTCAATTTGTACATTAATTAGAGTTCTTAAATAAACAAAAATATTTATTTAATATTACTTGAACCAATTATTTGTAGTATAATCAAAATTTTAATGTAGTTTTTGAAGAATTTAGATTTAGGAGATATAAACAGTTAAACACCATCGCAAGGTATAGTTTCAGACAATGCTGAAGTAACACCCGTTCTTATTTGTTATTGAACTAAATAATAATAAAAGGAAATATTTAAAATATTTACATACTCTTTACTAAAATAAAATTTATCTGCTCAGATCTAAAAAAATAATGTATAAAACATTCAACAAAATTTAACTGACCTATGACCTATTTCATGAGCCAAAATATAAACAGATGTGAAACCAGCTGAAGGATACGGTTTACCTAAAACGTTTGTTGATCCAAATTCTGCTATGATACAGGAATATTTTTCTGAGCAAATACCACCAACAGTAGCTAGGCCTATAAAATTTTATGTATAATCATTATTTTTAAAAATCTGTATTATCATTCAAGAGAACATAGTAACAAATCCATAATCTTAATTTTTACAAAATGTGTTGAATAATTTATTTTTATATTTACCACCATTATCTTTAAAAAATATTTTAATTGTTCCATAATTATTTATTTTTAATTTAGATAAAATGTTTTTTAGATTAAAAGTGAAATAATAAATAGCTCCGCATAAAACAATCAATAAATTATAAATGGTTAATTTTATTTATAAAATATGCATCTAAATTACCCATTGTTGAACCACTCCATTGGCCATTCTCTATGGCATAGAAGTCTAATCTATAAAAATGTTTAAAACAATTAATACTTCAACTATTAATTTAATAATTTTTCAATTTTTGTTTATTAAATAAATAGTGTATTTTTATAAAATAAAATATAATTAAGCTGCTAGATAACTATAAAAATTATTGGTCGACGCCAAGTAGTTGGGATTAAGGCGAGGAAGAAGAAGAGGAGAGAACTATAAAAATTATTACTCTCATCATTAATATATTACGTTGTATTTTAATAGTGCGTATCGAATAATTTACCCTGAAATATAAAGTCCTATATCCCATTGGTCTTTTTCTCGGTATTTTCTATTGAAAGCACAAAACGAATCCAACAATAAACTTCTCTCTCCGTTATAATGAGGTAAGTCAATAGGCTGTTTTTTAAAAATCTCAAGTTTTATTATAACAATGTCTAGTTTTTTACCTAAACTAGGATGATGATATAGAGCCTGGACCTGTCATAAATATAGAATAGACATTATCATTTTTTAAAAGAATTAATTTATACTGTCTATTTGTTGAGTTTTTACCACATACAGCATTGATATAAGCAAGAATCATGTCGGCCAATTGTTCGTCGTCATATTTGAAATATGGTGAAAAAATTTTGTAAGCAGGTTCATCAAAATACAGTGCTGTTTCTAGAACTGGGATTTCTTTTATACTGTCATACTTCAATTCTTTTGTCTATTAACAATTTAATTAAATTTAAACACTAAGATAAAAAATATTCTTAATTATTACTCACTAAGTCTTGTGACACTAAACTATGGTTTTTATTTAGTGTAGATAGCATATCTGTATTAACAAAAAACAATAATAATAAATAATAATAAAAAAAACAATGAAAAACTGCCAAGGGAAATTATATTAGATTCCATAAATGTTACTTTAAAGGAAAGAGTTTTTTGATCTTGGATTTTTCTATAAGATTACAAGACTTGGTAGTTTTTTCACGTGCACGTGTCTTAAGGCGTTTGTAATATTATTATACGTCAAAAATATTTGACTAACAATGTAAAAAACACACATTATTTATAAAAATTTTTACAGTTTTAATACTTAATATATTTGTATCCAATTTTAATAATATTATTGGTGAGTATAAAACAAATATAATATAATAACTATATTGTATTAGTTATATTCATTATAATTTGTAATATAACTGTCATTAAGGGAAATTCCGATAAAGTGAATAATGATGATATCTTAAAATCTATATGGTATTTGAATTTTGAAAACGTAGACTGTAATATAATTACAACATTAGACTACCATTTAATTAGCGATCGTTTGTAATAATAATGCACAATCCACATTTTGCTAAAATATAAGTTTAGCAAAAATTTTTATGGTGAGAGAAAAATATATTATTTTTTTAATAACTAATAGAATTATATTTCGAACACATCGAAGNGCAACCACAGAGTACGTATTCATTCGACATGATGGGCCCAAAAACGGAATTCAAATGCCCTATGATGGTCCCTATCGAGTCATAAGTAGGAACGAAAAAACTTTTGTTATTGATATTAATAAGAAGAAAGTTACAGTTACTATAGATAGACTTAAACCAGCATACATCATGGCAGATGAATACTCTAAGGAAAATATTCCGAAAAAGATCCAGACACATACACCCATTACCATTCCCAGGGAGGATCAAAGGACACGTTCCGGAAGAAGAGTCCATTTTCCAGACCGTCTTCAAGTAGGCTCCGCTTGACTCCGTCACTGGTAGGGGAGTGATGTAGCGACCAAAACATACGCAACGAATATTCTCGAATGTTCTCGTTATCAAAAACCTTCGAGAAACTTCGATAACGCCATAAGATAACCTACGCGGGTATAGAATATTCTAGAATTAGCGAGAGCCTTATCGGAGCTATATATATATCGGAAGAATCAGTCAGTTCAGTTAGTTCAGTTCAGACTGTCTAGTCCGCGATACGCTACACGACCGCTACACCCCGCCGCTGTTGTCATCGTGTATTACGTTTACTTCGATTATTTTATTTTTTCCTTACTGTATATACATATATTTTCTTTTAGTGTTTATACGTCTATTTTAGTGTTATAATTCTGTTTAATAAAAGTCTACCGCCATTTAAATAATTGTGTGTTGTAAGATATAACCCACATAATTATTACAATTAGTAATTTATATTATAATATATTAGAAGCACATTATACAGTTAGTTGTTGGCCTTATATATGGTGTTCCACCAGGTTTTAACATCTTTAATAATTTTAATGACTAGAAGCAGAATTTAAAATTTGAGATAGTTATAAAATATTATTATTCATCAAAACATATTTTGTAATCATACTTTTTTTGCTCCTAAATTAATCTACCCGTTTTACCTTTGATTCTCCTATGATAATGATGTGATAGAGTTTAAGTAGTGAATTTTTAATTTGGCAATGGAACTGTTTTACAGCAAAATTAAAAAATTTATTGTAATTTTTAAATTTAAACCAAATAAATAATTTGAATGTTTAATATGATATTATAAAATTTAAAATTGAAACATAAATAATTAAGTTTAGAGTAAAATTTGTAAAAATAACTGTATTGTAAACAAATTAAAATATCTATTACTCCCCAGTGTAATCTTCCCATCCATTAAATTTCTAACGATTTTATAAAAAAAAAGTAGAGATACATTAATACAATATTATTATATTGATTATAATATACAGTGCAATTTAAGTACCATCCAATTTATAACACTATATATTTCATACCAAACTCGTCTGTCCAAGTGTGGTTTAGAGCCGGTGCCCGTTTCAAAATGAAATATGTATTTTCATTGACATTTTCGCATCGATAACTACATAGTCTTGAGTTTAAAGATAGCATTTCGTAAGTCAAGTCTTCCATAAAAATTATTCCACTCTGAAATGTTATAATTCAGTAACGAATGGATTTTTTTTTAACCATTATGTCAATCTGTACGATTGAACTTAATAATATTGTGCTTATAAATATCTTAATTATATTTTACTCATATGAATTTACATTTAAGTTCATATGTAGTCGAATTTTAGACAAATTTCTTTCAAAATATTTCAAGTTATTCAAACTTTTTATATGTATTGATGTATGATTATTTCATAGTAAACTCTTATAATATATTTTTATAATAATTACTTTGGAACTTCCTGAGCAATATGTAAATGCAGCAGCAAAATTATCTCCTATTTTTCCCCGGTGTATATAGTGGCAATGTTTTAACGATTTCCCGTCTAATTCTGTCGATATACCATTCTCTTTAATTGTCCACACAAAGTTATCACTAAGTAGTTTTTCATTTTGCTCCAAACGTAAATGTATAGGTCTGTGAAAAATATGATAGAAAATTAAGTAAATATATACTGTGGCATTTATATAATAAATTTAATTAATATATACTTAACTAATTTAAATAAACAATAATATTTAGAACAACATCGAGTTAAAATATAAAACAAAGTCCCCATTATGAGAAAAATTATTGATATTTTTATGATTAAATTAAAAAAGTAAAATAATTTCAAATTGTTTTAAAGAGTTTTGAAATAAAAAACTTCACGATTCAACATTTAAAAACGCCTACAAGTGTATGTTTTCCCGTTTTATGTTGTACCTATAATGTTTTCTTTGTGAAAGTTACTCTCGGAATTAAGTGTACCAGTTTAAAAGGGTACGTTTATAGTACGAGCTCAATCATTAGTTCCGGGATTTTGAATTTGACTTGGATGTTAAACATTTTTACCCAAATGCAAAGTGCACATAAACATGCGTGTATATGTATGGGAAGATCTTTTACAGTGTTTTAAACCAACACCCTACGGGCACCTATAGTATAGTACTTCGTTTAACGTTACGTGTACTTCATCCTTGTAGTTTTTACTTTTTTTTGTCGTGACTATATGTAAACATTTATTTCTCAGTTAACAATTATTTGAGTTATTTAAGTATTTGCTTTATTTCTTCTGTAACTCTTACCTTCCAAACGCTAAAAATTTACTATCAGACTTCTCAGCAGGGTTTTCCAATGAAACAATCTCATATTCAGGTACATCTATTAGGTTAGACACTCCAAAATAGTAACCGATTTCATCACTTGTCATCAACTCGTGAAGAACCTTTAAAAAACGCCATGTACATTAATACAATTTAAACAGTGATAACTTAAGACAGACATTTTTTTAATTCAATGCGATATTTAAAGTATAAGATATTTACTTTTAAAGCACTTTTAAATTATGGGGATTCTATCGCTTTGAGATAAATTGGTTTTTTTTACTTTGATTATACAAGTATTAAATTACTATTAAAAATAGCTTGAGATGATTTCAAATAGAAATTAGTACCATCAACACGATTATTAGACATCTTAGTGTATACTTCTATAAATTAATATTTAATTTCTGACAAAGCTTTATAAATAATTAAAAGGAGGTTGACGTCATCAACATTATTTTTAAATAAGCTAAATTTTAATAGTCGTATGATTTTTTTTATCGAAAATTTTTTATTTAACGGAAATCTGGTAATTATTCATAGCTATATAGTAGCTACATAATAATAATAATAATCGAATAATGTATATATTATGTTAGAGGTTCATGGACATTTACAGCACAGAAAATTGTTTTATAACTTTATTGTATGATATATTTTTTTTTAATAAATTATACAACATATAATTTTTGAATGATTAATGGATACAGTACAAACAATAAAATTATGACAAATATATCTCAAACTTTTTCAACGAAACGTATAAATGCTTAATAATTTATGATACTACACAGATAATTAAAATACAGACATACTTCAATTGTTACATGGATTTGAAGGAGATGTGTACAGAAATAGATTATTTCTGACGGGTAAAATTTAAAAAGTAAAGCAATAATTAGACATTAGAGTGTAATTAAATTTCTATAGTATTATTTAAAAATACTATATTTATACTATTAAATTAAAAATAAAATTTGGTTGATTAATGTAAACAGGTAAACTGAAATTTACTGTAAAAATTGTTTTTATGGTTTTAAATTATTCTGGAACATATATTGTCTTTTTATGATTTTCTCCATTTATAAACATAAATTTTATTTTTCTTATCAATATATTGTATCGTTGTACAATAAGGAACAAAATGATTTTTTTATTATTTATTTACTATTTAAATTACATTACTAGAAACCACTTAGATACTAAAAATAATTAATTACTAGTTGATCTAACTATTTAAAAATATTGGATTTTTATATGTTTATCTGAATAAAAATAAGTACAATAAAAAATGATAATCATTTTTCCGTTATAAATTAATGTCAAAAATTAATCATACCTGATAATTATTTAAAAGGCCAACAACGGAGCTAACTAAAAAAATTAACCTAAGTAAAACTGTCCTCATTGCTTCGCTTCTAAATACATTATACTTAAAACCACTATAATCACATAACAACCGCAGTTTCAACGATCAGGTTCAATGACACAATGTTGAAATTTAAATGCTAGGGCTAAATCATGAGGGCATTATGCACATTCAAAATTTAGTAATTAAATATGATGGTAAAGTAATTATAAACTGTAGAAAATATATTTTGAATTATTTTACAAAATCAACTTAAAAACAAAAATGTTGATATATGACACAACTTATTTTTAGTATATTTTTTATAAAATGGTCAAGAAATGATAACTAATTATGATTTGTAGTTTTTATATAATAAAATATATTGATTGAAAACATTTTTTTTTCAATTACATTTTATTTTTCTCGGAACTAAATGAGGATATATTTCCAAAACTTATAAAATAATAAAAAAAATCAAGTAAAATTTATGATTTTTTCCCTAATACAATTTTTCTAAAATACAGTTTAATAATGTTATTATAATATATAATGTTTTAAAAACATTTTTATAACATTAATTTTAAAAATTCTATTTGGGTTTATTATCGTATAATTTGTTATATGAATAATAATTGTTTAGATTATTTATTATTTTCATTACTTTTTTATAACTTTTTATTAATTTAGTAATATTGTTTATTTGAATAATAAAAATTATCAGAATATAATAATGCTTCTGACTAAACTTTAATCTACTATTTTGCTAGAGCAAGATTTTTTTTTATCTTGAGCTTTGAAATATATTAGACACGTTTAGATGAGAATCATTTCAAAGGTTTTTTGATGAAGGTATATATAAATGAAACTAAAATTAGAGTGTATTTTTGTGTCATAACACTTAAGACAACTTTAACACGAAATTTACTTTGTGAACTAAGTACCGACGATAACTTAAAAGTGATGAAGATATCTTTTGCGCTAATTAGCTTCAATAAACAGTTATTCTTGTTCTTACTATTGTAATTTATCATTACATTTTGTTTTTAAGAAAAAACATTAGAAGTTGATGACAAATGAATCATTTGAATCACAATTATTCCTATTTTACTACTTAATGATTATTAACCTTGTAAACAACAGGACGGAAGCAAATTTAGTACGGTTATATTGTATATAAACAACATTAATCATCTAAAACACAATTAATCTTTTTCAACCATAACTGGAATAAAAATGGTGAGTTTAATTTAAGATTTTTTTTTCAGAATTTTAGTATCCATATAACTTAATATTTGTTTATTAATTTAGTTTATTTTTTGTTATAAGATTTATAATTATAATATTCTTTTTAAAAACTATACTTTTAATCTTATAATAATATTGTATTAATAATGAAATATTTTTTGAGTTCTAATTTCTATCAAAAATTATTAATATATACCTAAAAAAATTTAAATTAAATCAAATTATTATTAAAATTTGTATTTTAATAATAAAAGATAAAAATAATTTCGTTTCCACAAAGGACACGGATAATTTTTTTTATTTTTGCTTGAACTAAAAAAGTATGAAACCACTGATATATCTAAATATAGTGTAAAACAATACTTTTCTTTGAAGTTTTTTGTTTTTATTATCTGAATATTAAAAGGGGTACACACATTAATGTATAATTATTTTAACTTGGCATAAATTTATAATATAGGCTGCGTTCATTGTAATTCACAAAGTTTTTTATGATTTTTTAGATAAAATATTTTACATCTAATTTGAAAATTTTTGTTTAACTTTCAGCTAAAAATCCATGTATTGATGATATTGGTTCAACACTTAGTCTTTTTCCCGACGGAATATGTTTTCTGTGTTTCCATAGTTAACCGTTTATATGATGGAGCTGCCGTTGATAGTTCTAGTAGCCTATCAAGGAACCGTAGGTTTATCATTGTCAACGGCGATGGGGTACCTGAGTATCCAGAAATAGATAACGACGGTATTGATAATCATGATATCGATTACGATTTAGACGATATTGACGATGTAGATGATCCTGATGACGGTTATTACGGACCAGGCCACCACTTTTGGTGGCATCATGTTTACCATCATGATAGTCCAATTCTACCCTTTCCATTATTTCCACCGTTTCCACGAAGATACCCTAAAATACTGGTGCCGAGATGTGACCAGTGGCCATTCACATGTCACAATCGGTTAGAAGTTATTCAATGGCTTCAATGTTATTACGAATATATAGGAGGACCTCATCATGATGTGTACTCAGGACATGGGACATCTGTTCATTTTTTATAAGTCGACAGTGTAAAATAGTTAGTGTAGTATAGTTGTTACGTAATTGATTTTTTGCGCATAAAGTAAAAACGCGTATGGTGTATCGTTAAAAAAAGATTTGTATTTTACACTCTTCAAACCTTTTTCCTTTATTAAAATGTAACGAGGTAAAAAATAAAAAATCATTCATTAATTTCATCGAAAAGAAATTTTACCCGTATATTGAATTTTATGGGTGTAAATTGTATTATGCTTTACATGAAACGTTCACAAAAAAACCTTAGAGTTCGTATAAAAATATTAATGACAAAATTATTAAGTATTTATTTAATAAAATACAATTTTCAAATAATAATTATGAAGTAGCATAGATACACTTTATCATAGTAACACTTTAAAACGCAATCGGTAATAATTGAATGGTAGTCCAATTATCTTAAAAGATTTCTTTTTTTGGTAAATTATTTCTCAAAGTTATGACACTATATTTATATTGTTCATTACATAGGGTAACTAATAATTTGAGATTTAGCTTTATAGTTAAAAATTAGTCTCTTTTAAAACTTGGAGTAATAAAATAATATTAATGTAATACTATGTAAAATATTTTTCAGGGAAGGGAAATATATGAAAGCTACTGTAAAAAAATTGCCCACACTTCGCTTATGGTACAATATTATATGTATAGTAAATTATTTCATCTAATGTGATCTATTTATTTTATAGGTTTTTTTTTATAACGATATTTTAACTCAATAATTAAATTGTCTGAATTATTATAATTAAATTACTTATGTAACCAATTTTCGGAAAATAGTTTATTTTTATTGACAGTATAAAATTTATGCTGATACAAATATAAACTTGCACTTAAATCTATAAGTTATATAAATTGTACACAATTATAATTATTGTATTAAATGTGGAAGTCAAAGTTTATTTTATGTTTATACGTAGAAATAAATGTAAATTTGTATATAATAAATAGCTATTAATAAATATTCCTTAAATTATTTAACTATAATATTAATAAGAAAAACAAAAATTTGTTAAGATCATAATTTTTTCACTAAAAAAGAATATGTATTAATTGATTAAAAAAGAAAGATAAAATCTGTTATAAAAAGTATTAAGTACTTTTTTTTTGTAGAGTTGTACATTTTATACATCAGCTAAAACATTAATGACTCACAATGTTTCTTCACATGTCAATGTACAAAAATAAACTATTTAAGTAGATATTATTTTTCTAACATTTTGTGATTTTTTTTTACAGAAATTCTTGTTATATTACCAAATGTATCATTTAGAATACTAATTGATGTTTAAACACAACATGTTAATCACTATAAAGTAATATTTTTTAATTAATTTACAATAATTAACAAATAATAAGAATATATCATTCCGGGTTTTGAATTTTAGAAATAAAGGAAGTAATATTATTGATTGATCAAGTTTAATTAAATTTTGCTTAAACATCAGTAGTAGTAGAAGTGTTGTTATTTTCAAAATATTCATTAAAAGTACATTTATAACTTACTTATCTTCATTTTATTACTAGTTAGTGTGTTCATCAAAAGTTTTAAAGTTTCGAAAAACTTTTAAGTAAAAAAAAATAGAAGTTTATATTGTTGATACATTAATTTGAATATTTCTGTTTTTATTTCGAAAACTGAAAATACCTTATAATTTGCATAAATTGAGGCTAACAATTTTTCTTTGAAAGTTTTATCATAAAATTAAATATTGAGTTACATTATGGCTAGATTCTTTCTATACTTAATACTTCATTTTATTATAATGTTTTAAATAATTTTTTTCTAAGAATTTATTCATAATGTATCTGTTTGTTCAAACTGGTCTTTCAAAAATGTCTCGTGTTGTCCAAAAAATTGTATTATACGATAATAAGTTAGCCCGGTGAATTCATTTTAACAATCCACTTTTCATAGAGTGATAATTCATACTCCGTTAATTTAAATGTATTTAAGTATACGCTGCAAAAATGACCCGACAATTAATTGTATTTCGAATTGTACTAAAATAGTATTATATAATATTATTTTGGTACACAACATATATGTTTACGGTCAACCAATCAGATATAACTACTCTGTAGAGAATAGTGTATAATAGTATAATATATATATGTATTTATCGAACTGTTGTTTTCTTACGATCATATCAATTTATCGTGAACGAGAAAGTATAATACAAAAGTTTTTGAACGCGTAGGTTACTGAGCTTATGTTCTCATTGTCGAGATAGTTTTCTTACAGTGTATTGAAGTTTCCCCTTGAGTTTATTTCTTATATTAAGATTAGACCTTTCAAAAATATTTCACGCCGTGAATTGAACATTTGCCACGTGACTATATTTTATCGTTTGACTTGGCTTTTTATTTTTCAAAACAGCAAAGTAATTTATGTGTTATTAAATATACATGAATTAGAAAATATTTTTTATGTTCAACTTTCTAGACGTATTTTTTAACGAATGCATTTACAGTAATTGTTTTACATCGTTTTTTTTTTATATATATAAACACATAGCGGAATATTCAATCGTTTTGATTTAATAAGGAAATTCATTCTGTGTAAAAATCCAAAGATCTGTCTTGTTTTACTTTGAAATAAAACAACAATAGCTTAAATATTATAACTTATGAAGGGACGTGTCGACTGCCATTTGGAAGTTTTTATCAGTGACCATATGTGCATCTGATTTTGAGTTAGCGACTGTTGAATACTGATGACAATGTTTAAAAATAATTTTGCACAACACCCAACTGCAGAAAGTACCTTTAAATTAGCCGAGTGCGGGCTCACAAATACATTTGGACACAGCCAAAGTATAATTATGAGAAAGAAAAGTAAGGCACAGCTGAAATGATGTCTACGTGACTACAAAGCTGTGTACATTTAATGACATTGTTCATGTGTACGGCTATGTTATTTTTTAGAAACGTATCGATCCACTGTAGTGTACTCGCTATCCAACGTAATTATTTTATGAAGACACACTATGCGTTACCAACAGCCTAATTTATTCGTAATCTCACGTAAGTTATGATAAATGAAAATAGAATAAGAAAAACCACGTGCGTTATGCACCATCGCTGTCAAATGGTTTTTTCAATAAAACATAAAAGTGATGGTCAAGGGAAATTGTTTGAGATCTTAATTGGCTTACATTTCTTAACGCTTTAATTTGGTAACGCATCGCGATCCATTTAAAAACGTAATGTTAAAGAGTTCCTAGGAAATGTTTTCTACGTTTGTTAACCTTCTGACAATGACCCGCTAAAATTCAATTGAATAAAATGATTCGGTTGATTTAAGAATACGTTCTGGTCTGTATGATTTCGATTTGAATATTTCAGAAATATCTTCGAATAACTTATTTTTTTTACTTTTTCAAATTTAATTAGACGACATATATTAATTTAAAGTATTTCTGGGAAACTAATAATAAAGCAATGTGATAAAAAAATTTTAAGTGCTACTGAATTTACATAATCACAATAAATATTGCTAAACCAATATTTAGTTATTGACATTTTGTATATTTAACAAAATATTATTTTTGAATTAATTTTTTGAAATTTCACTATCTTTACATTATAGAAACTAAATTTAAAGGTCATAGCTACCATCGATTTGCGACTCTTACATTTCTAAATAAGTGTATACCTTATGGTTTTTCACGAAAATACTGGGAATATCATTCGACAGATTGCTAAATTAGCTTAAACTTTAAAATTAGATTANTTTCACGAAAATACTGGGAATATCATTCGACAGATTGCTAAATTAGCTAACTTCATAGATTTTGAATGATTAATGATAAATGATTAATAATTAAGTTAATTATTAATGATATATTCGTTGTGCTATACTTTAAATTAGTCAACATAGAATTCATAAAAGGCTAAGAATTGTACAAATATCCATTTAACACATTTATTATTCAGTAATATAAAATTCGTATGATGTCTCATTAAATAATTATACGTCCAGAGAATTTAAATCTCTTTAGTGGATTGTATAAAAGCACTGACTACAGGATTATGAACTTTTTAATGCATATACATGTAATGGGATTAAAATGAGAAATTGTTTGATATTACTTTTAAGTATAGGCACAATTTCAACAACATTTTTGGAGTGCCTTATTATATCTAATTTCCTACGCTGTAATATTTCTTTTTATATAATTATTAATGCAGTTTTTCTAAAATAGTAGAAAGGATTAATTTTAAAATTGTAAAGATTAAGTTACCCCAATTTTCTAAATAATACATGTTTAGTGTTTTACTATATTTAATAACACAAGTTTTATGGCATGATACTAAAATTTTTTTTGTTATTTAAATGGTATTTAGTTTTGAAAAGTTCAATAAAGTGAACATTCAAATATTATTTAGTATTCATAATAGTTATGGTAAAATCAATTCATAAAATAAAATAATTAAAAAAAAAAAATTGTTTACTTAAAATCACTTGTAGAGTTCTTTTATATGTTTTAAATTTGTTGCTACATTTTTAATATTTGTAATATTTTTTTAAATCATCTAAATTTTAGGGCATAACCTTAAAATTAAAAACAATTTTAAAATTTAATATTCATTCTTATTTTTTGATTTATTATAATGTTAATTTAAAACTAAACAAGGAATATTGAGACAAGTACGTTACAAAATATATTTAATAACAAGTAAATAAAACTTATGTAAATAGGTTTTAAGTTTTTTAACTGAACTCGATATTTTTGATTATTTATAATTATTTACGAAATCTTCAATTATGTTTATTAAAAATTTCTTATTATCTCCAACATTTTTTATGTAAATTTGTCTGTATGTGACAGGTGATGTTATTATTCAGAAAATGTTCAGTAACAAAATTTAAACATTATAGAAACAGAGCGTGATTAACATACAAGGTATATAATGTTAAGTATTAGAACAAACAAAGTCCTAAATCTTAATACGTAAGTTTTTACACACCCAACTTTATTATGAGTTTATAAGTTTCTTACAGTTGCACGTCCAAAGTACTCAGCGAACTCATCAATCATAAAATCCTTTATTAAACAACTTCATTAGACTCTACCGACCATACGTAATGATGTATGATCAATTAACCTCGTTAGAGTGG